GGTGGGGCTCCATCCGCCAGCAGCCAATCGGATGCTATGGTGCAGAGCAGCACCTCGAATGGCTCTCCAGGAGACGGAGCTCTACCCAGAGATATCTCGGCACATGGGCAGCTGGAGAGAGCACTCTCCCTTACTGCGTCCTAATCACAGAGGTGAGGGCTGGGAGTTTGCACTCCCATGGCACCCTTGGGCTGGCCATTCACGGTTCACATGCTTCGAAGACCCTTCATCGGTAAATGTCTTCACACCACCGTCCATCTTTTGTTTTGTTTTTTTGTTTTTGTTTTTTTTTTCCCAGTGTTTTTCCATGACAGACTGCAGGGGCCTTTTCACGCCTTTCCCTTCCGCTGGCGGGATCTTTCACGGGGAATGTCAGACCGCAGAGCCCGTGTGCCCCGGGTCCCGGCCCATTCTCACCCCCAAGGAGCGCAGAAGAGCGCCGATTAAAAAAAAAAAAAAAAACGGGGAAACAAAAATCTGTGCGTCAGCAAAGCTAAATGCATCGGATCTGCGCAGCCACAAGGGGGTAGGTATACAAAGCAGCGGCAAAAAAGCATCTGTAATGAGAAAATGAGGAGGGAGCCCGATATATCCGGATTAACCAACACTCACACGCTGACCCGGTGTGCAAGAGCAGCAACTTCTGCTACTCTTTCATATAGTGCCTCTTTCAAATAGCTCTCTTCCAAACACTGCCAAACATTAAACCCAACAATGACATATTTCACAGGTTAGTAAATATCATATTAGAGGAGCCAAACCATAACCATCAAGTGGAGAATGCAGACTAGTGAATGTTAACTGGGTGAGAGGAGGTATAAAATAGTTACCTATGCACATATGAACTACATTTGCTCAGTTACTCTCTTATTCACTTAATGAGTTGTAGTTCCAAAGTGCTAATGAATATCTGGATAGGAAGTTATTAAGAACACTTGGATAATAAACCATCACTATAATAAAGCACCTATCCAGTTAGGGTCAATCTGATCCAGGAACAGTGGTAGGCATTAGACCAAAGGCAGGGTAGCCAGAAGAGTCAGTCTGCCACACGCAGGAAGGATAATCGATTCACAAGAAGCACCTGTGTTCGGACTGTGGGAAACGGGAGGACCTGAAGGAGACCCAAGCTGACACATGGATACCATGTAGACCCACAGAGATGCGGGCAAACTCCACACACGCACTAAGAGGTTTGAAGTGGAAAGTGGCGAGTCCCTGTTTCTCCGTTCGATCAAATGCAGTGAACAGGTCACTATTAATGACCTCGTATGCTCATTAACATGGGGAAGGAATCCAATAATGCCGGCAGCGCTGATTTCCCCTTAGACATCGTTGCTCACAGAGATTCTCCTCTAAGCTCATGCTTCTGCTAAACGTGAGCAAGTCCCTCTGAAAGCTCAGTAGACCTGATTGATTTGGCTAAGTCAGTGAGATCCCAGCCATTTCATATGAATCTTCTTCTCAGTTATGGATGTGAAGATCGAGTACTTAAAAGCAGTTTATCAACAGCTGTAACTGTTAAAAATAAATAAATAACAACAGGAATGACGCTCTCTGCATGTGATCGATGTCCATCCACGCCGGCCCGACGTGCTGCCATCAATCTCCCCATTAGCGGCCGTCTCCCCCCATGCAGTGACCGTCGCCCGCTTTTATGAATTTTAGATGTGGGCTGGAAATAGGAATTCGCAGGAAATTTAACCGAAACGTCACGGAGGAGAGAAACAAAAACTTTCAAATATATTATAATAGCGGAAAATAGCAATAAAAACCACAACATGATACAAATAACAGAGATGAAACCGAGATTAAATAGCTACAGTAACAGAAAGTGTTTTTGTGCAACAAAGGCTCACAGAGGGGATATTAATGAGCGAGGCCGGCCAGTGGCCTGCACAACCAGCTCCCTTGCAGTACAGTCCTGTCAGCATTCAGCTACCTCTGCATTTTTTCTCCCCCAAAATGCCAGTGTGTCCCTGCTGCGTCATGGAAATACATCATACCGATATACGGTACAGGCTTTCTGATACAGTTAAAACAGCTTCATGCAAAGAGATCGGCAGCCCGGCTAACCACGGGCCACTTCCACTTTCCTCTGAAAGAGCTTCACCCAAACAGCGTTACTGCCTGTGTATTTTTAACACTTTATTAACAACACTGGCTGAGTGTAAAGTTTTGCAGTCTGTTCCAAGCTGCTGTTGGCAACCGAACACCCAGAACGAGGCGTGCTGTGCGAACAGGAGCGCGCGGGAAGGGCCGCATCAACAATGACGCCACGTTCACTGTGCCCGTTTCCCGTGGCTGTCTTCCACTTCGTCCATCACCTGCCTTCGAAGTTTGAGTCCTTTGGGCCCAGCTTTGTGAAGCTGTCCAAGCTCTTCTCGGGACAGCCGACAAGGGATTAGTGTGTCCTTCTGTGCCAAGAAAACACATTATAAAACACAGGCGGCAAGAAGCAGGGATCAATATTTATCAAGATGTACCAACCTGTACTCAGAGT